AGAAGCCATCAAGGAAGGAAGCAAGATAGGAATAGGAACTAGGAACTTGGGGCTGCCAGGCTTGTCCTCTGAGGACAGGAATGTTTGTTTTACAAAGATTTCCTATGAGGTCAAAGGCAGAGGATGGTGAAGGGGAGATGAGGGGATCCCCAGGGAACTGTTTGACATCCAGGCCTACCTCTTCCTTACTGTGTTAGTGAGCGCAGCCACACACCTCTCAACACACCACACACCTCTCTAATCCCCCAATGACTCCATCCACAAAGTAGGTCTAACCTTGACTGGTTCCCTACCAAGGCTGGATGTGTAGGCTTAACTGGCCATAAATTCTCTGACCACTGTAGAGCAAGCTTAAGGAAGATAGCATGTTTGCCGGCATCAGATGGTATGTGAGGGACTAGGGTCTGTAAGATCTTTTAAAAAAAAAAATGGAGCAGAACGAGACTTGTACTGGTTTTGGAGAGCGCTCGGCAGAATGCACCAGGATGTGTATGAGTCGTGAGTATATGTGTGCTCTGTGCTTTCCCAGTGCACACCAGGTCTAGCCTGAGCAAATAAGTCTCAGAGCAGAAATGGCCTTGTGCACAAAGGAGTGCAGCATCACTCACAGCACTTCGAAACCAGACCACGATATCACAGCCTCATGGACGACAGCTTAGAGACGGGGTGAGAGCGAATCATTCTCTGTCCGCCACCCAGGCGCAGTCATGAAGATCTGGCAATGACTCAAAAGAACAAGGAGCCAGAGGAGACGGCCTTAGCTGTGTGGTTATACCCATCAGCCTGTCCTCAAACCTTCTGCAAAGCTCAAGGCTACCCGTGAGCCTGTGCCATCCACTGAGCCAGGTGGCTGCCTCTGCCCTGGTTACAACTATGAGGTCATGTTCCCTTCAGATGGGCATCCCCCAGGGACACCCAGCTTTACGTCCTTTGCTCAAGCAAGCACCAGGATGTGGTCTGGAAACAGGTTGCTGAACGGACAGTATGAAAGGTTACGTCAGCCCTGGCCCTGGGCCTGGGGTCTCACCAGAGTTATGCAAATCTGTTCACTTCTACATGTCCTATGTCTAAAGGGAGGACGACACTGCCCACCTCGAGGAGCACTGCAGACACAGTGATGCAGACGGAACTTAGGGAGTCCTCACACAGCAGCTGTCCACAGAGTCAGTCTCTCTGTCTCTCTCTCTCTCTCTCTCTCTCTCTCTCTCTCTCTCTCTCTCCTCTTTTGTTTTATTTATTGAATTTCCATACATTATCTATCTGCATGTACACCTGCATGCATGAAGAGGGCATCGGATCCCAGTACAGATGGTTGTGAGCCACCATGTGGTTGCTGGGAATTGAACTCAGGACCTCTGGAAGAGCAGTCAGTGCTCTCAACCACTGAGCCATCTCTCCAGCCCTCTTTTTCCTCTTTCTCAGGGGTTCTCCCAGGAAGGATGTGACTGGAAGGCAGAGAACATCACTGAGAAAGAGGAATCATGAGATCTGAAAGGCACACAGACTTCTTTATGGCCCTTGGTACATCCTGGAGATGGAACCCAGGGCCTGGAGCAGGATTCTCAAGCACTCAAGTACTGAGCTCCAGCCCCAGCCTTGAGACCTCAGCCTTCTTACCTGTAAAATGGGGGTGTCAGCGTCTAGCTCACTGATGGGGTGGTTGCAAAGAATAGATGAGATACTGTGTGCATGTTGCCTGGCACACAGGAAGGGCTCAACATTATCTACCAGTGTCGGTTGTGGGTGCTGATCCAGGAAATAGTCCCAGTACAGGGACGACTCTGGTCTGTTTCCTTCAGGCAGGTAAGGGCGTCTTTTCCCAGTTTTCCGTGGGGCTCTCCAGGCTCCAACGAGGTGAGACACCCTCCTATCAGGAGTGGGAACCTGGCTCAGGATCTGGGCCACCCTCTGCCCCCAGCCAGCCCCATACCCACGGCATAGATCTCGATGTTGATGGTGAAAATGGAGTGGGACCGAGAGGAGTCCTTATTCATCAGGGTGTAGCCAACTGCACGGTTCTTCCAGCCGGTCTCCATGACGCGCTCACACTGGGCCACATTGTGTACCGTGTGCATGGACAGACCCTTGACATACACTCCCTTCTCGGGATGCTCCTTCAGCTGCAGGGAGGAGGACCAGGGAAAGGTGAGATTACCAAAGGCAGGACCCTATCCAGGCCACTTGTGACTTCCTAAACCATCCTGAAATAGGCAGGGGGCTCACTCTGCCTCCCACTTGTAGAACCTTGGGCCAGTGACAACCTGAACTTCAGTGAGCACATCTGTAAAATGGGTATGGGATACCTATTTCATTATGAGATACTTATTTCATGAGCATGGTAAAGAGTCAGTAAAGTAAGGCACACACAAGCTTTGCACAGGCTTCTGGAAGCTGCTGGGCCTGGCACCCAGGGCTCTGAATGTGTCTCCTTTGTCCTGTCCACACAGCTTCTGATACCAGGACAATGGAAATGCTGCCAGACTCCTGGATGGCAGCAGGTGGAGGGTCGTTTGCTGCTCAAGCCCATGAGGCTCTCCGCTCAACCCTCGGAGACAGCAGCGGGTGAGCTGTGTATGCCCCAGATGCTCCCTGCTTGGTTCCCAGGCAACCACGGAGCTTCGCTGCTTACTCAAAAGAACGAAATGCAGCATTCCTCATGAGGAAAGAGCAGCATGAAGGGGGGGGGGGGGGGGGGCGTGTCTGCACTCTCAGCACTTAGAAGCCAGAGAGGCGGGAGAATCGCTGCAAATTCTAGGCCAACCTAGGCTACAGTAACACTGCATCTCAGGTGGGAGGGGAGGGAGAGCGGAAGGAGTTACAGATGTCGGGGGGGGGGGGGGGTTCTGAGATGGGGTGGCCACACTGGTTGGAGCCCAGAAGGCTCAGCTGCCTGCTCTAATGGTCCCAGGAGGGGACTTGTCCCCTTCTGTGCACAAGTCAGATGGATGCACAGGCTAGCTCTGCCTGTTGAGGTGTAGTCCTAAGGCGGCTGGCTCTGTGGAACTGTAAGTAACCAAGGCACAGGAAGGTTAAATGGCTTTCTGAAAACCATCTAGGTACTAGTGTGTCACAGCGACAGAAGGCTTCAGGAATTGGATAAAGAGAGTCAGAGAGGACAGGCACAAAGGACTTGCTCCTGCAAACAGGGAGGGGTGAGATTTTAGGGCCAGAAAGTGGACTTCATGGATCCCACACTATGCTCCCAGAACCTAGAACCTAGTTTGGGGCATCTGGGCAGTATCTGGTCACCCTCAGAAAAGAGTATATTTGGGCTGGAGAGATGATCCTAAGATAAGAGCACTTGTTCTTGCAGAGGACTGGGGTTCAATTCCTAGTATCCACAACCATCCATAGCTCCAGCTCCAGACACCCTCTTCTGACCTCTGGAGGAACTGGACATGTACACGGTGCACACACAAACAGAACACACACATCCAGGCAAAACACTCAGACTTGTAAAATAATAAATTCATCTCAAAAGGTTTGTTAAAAGCATATTTAGCGCCGGGCGGTGGTGGTGCATGCCTTTAATCCCAGCACTTGGGAGGCAGGGGCAAGTTTGTAAGTATGTAAGTATGTAAGTTTGAGGCCAGTCTGGTCTACATAGTGAATTCTAAGATGGCCAGTAAGGCCCTATATATAAAAAAGCATATTTAGCCACTTTCCTGTTTAAGCAACAGGACTCAGTCTAGAAACCCCAGTAGCGGAGGGATGTCAGAGGGCCTCTGTAGGCTTCAATAGTCACCTCACCTGTGAAATGGGGACAAACCCCACTTGTATGAAACTATGAGAACTAAGGAGACAGACTGGTGGTACCTTAGGGAGCTCAGTGGATGCAGGTCATAGAGAGGACAGGATGCTGTAATTTCAGAAGGTGAAACAGTTCCCGTCTCTGACTCCCTCAGGTTCCTTCCTACCACCCTATCCCCACCCTCTGCAGACATTGGTCCTGAGGAGGTGCTGAGTGATGGCTGCCAGCTGTACATCCTATTCCTCAGTAGCTGCTCATCTAGGCTGCAAGAAACCAGAGCCAGGTTGCCATGGTAACCAGCTGTGCTACAGCATGGATGGAGAGGGACAGAGGCACGCGGCCATGGCTAGGGTCCAGGCGGGAGGGGCTGTTCCTATGTTCTTCCCTACATATGGGATCTTGGGAAGCCCCCTCAGGCCCCACTCCACCATGATCTACTGCGCCGAGATCTGGGGTGGTATTTGTACTGACTTGGGGGTGAGGAGTGTTGGCTTTCCCAAATCTCTTGCTGGCCTTCCCTGACTGAATAACTCAGGCTTATTATAAAGTGTACCAGGCTCTGGGTTAAACCCAGGCTAAGAGCTTGTGTTGTGGAGCCTCTGAGATTCCAATCCATCCCCTCTGGGTGCTCCTTGGGTTATGCATAGGTGCCTGAATCACAGAGGACGAGAACAGGATTCTCCGCCTACTCTTACATGAAAACCATCTGCCTGTCACCCACAAAGCAGCGTATCAGAGGTCTGGAGCCCACGGGTGTACATCTCTGAACATTCTGTCCTCTGCAGCCCCTGAAGCAGTGAGCTCACTAAGTGAGCTCCCCCCACTAGGGTCCAGGTTAGCCAGGAAGGGACAGGGTCCCCATAGCACCCACACAAGGAGGTGAAAGGTCTGTAAACCCTCAGGACTATGACCCCGAGGCTAGCCTTCTGGAGCTACCAGCCCCCACCCAACTCCTCCGCCAGTTTCTCTGGCTGAGAGTGAGTCGTGACTTATCGGCTCCCAACCCCCTCTTCTGGTGAGGGGGATGCTGCTGGTTGTTGGTAGAGGTTCCTGGCAGGGAGGGCAAAGAACTGCTAGGCTTGTGCTATACCAGCTGCAGGCGGATGGGCAGGGGATTGAGTGGATAGATGGAAATTGAAGAGAGGAGGGGCCAGTGCTGCACGTGGCCTGGCACACCAGCACACATGGGTTCTTCTTCCTTGTAAGTCTTTGCTGAAGACAAGCAACGGATGACTGAGCCTCCCTCTGTAAACCTGGAGTCACTGGCTTCCTGGTGGATGCTGGTGGGGCAGGCTTGGTTAGATCAGAAGTAGCATGGCTGGAGGGAGAAGCCAGAGGTCGCCTAGCAGAGATGAGGGCAGCATCTCACACTGGCCTCTCCCCCCGGCCCAGGCCACCAGCCTGTAAGAGCCCCAGGCAGGAGCGAGACCAATACCTCTGGCAGAGACTAAGGGCAGAGGGTCCCAGCTGGGTGGGATTCCATGCCCTCTCACTGCTTCCTGGTCCTGGCAGGATTTGTTCATTTATATGCTCATACTGTCTGTCTGTCTGTCTGTCTGTCTGTCTGCCTCTCTCTCTCTCTCTCTCTCTCTCTCTCTCTCTCCTTCCCTCCCCATCCTTTTCTCTCCCTCCTTCCTTCTCTAGATTTTCTTCCTTTTTTTTTCTTTTTACAGTCTCCCTCTGTAGCCCAGGTTGGCCTGGAACTTGCAATCCCCCTGTCTAAGTGTGACCACTGCTGGGATTACAGGCTGTGCCATTAACCCCAGTCTGTCAGGTTTCTTGATCTCTCTGGGTGGCCAAAACAACCATGCTGGTTCTGCAAGTGTCTGCCTTGGCTGCTGATGTTAGGAAGTCACACTCTCCACCCTGGACCCAGTCTTTGAGGAGACTGAGGACAAATTATGAAACATGCTTGAGGCTCTGAGGAAGCCAAACTCAATCTTCAGCATAAATGGTTCTGTCCTTGACTCTATCCCCCAGGGGCTCCACCTGGCACCCCCATCTTTCCTGGGGTTTCTCTAATCCCCAACGTCTTAAAATTGCTCCCATACTGAACACCTAGTGGGTACTGCCACTCTGCTGAGGGGCCTGCCCTACTTACAGTCTTCAATCTGCAACGTCCTCTTTCAGTTTTGTTTGTTTGTTTTGAGACAAGAGTTTCTCTGTGTAGCCCTGGTTCTCCCTGAAACCTGCTCTGTAGACCAGGCTAGCCTTAAGCTCAAAGAGATTCACTTGTCTCTGCCTCCCAAGTGCTAGGATTAAAGGTGTGCACCACAGCCCGGCTGCAATACCCCTCCCTTTTTTCAAAGTAGACCAAGACGATGGAACCCTAGTCATATAAACATCAGTAAAATAAGGTGTCTGAGGTTCAAAACCTTGAGTTAGGGAGATCTGGGTTCAAGTCCAGACTTTAGACCATATATATATGTGTGTGTGTGTGTGGGTGTGTGGGTGTGTGGGTGTGGGTGTGTGGGTGTGGGTGTGTATGTATATATGTATACATACACACCCACACCCACACACCCACACACCCACATTTTCGAGACAGGGTTTCTCTGTGTAGTCCTGGCCAACTCACGCTGTAGAGTCTCATTCAGGCTGGCCTTGAATTTAGAAATCTGCCTGCCTCTGCCCCACAAGTGCTGGGATTAAAGGTGTGTACCACAACTGCCCAGCCATCATAATATAATTTTTATCAGTGAAAGTGTTGTCTAAAAAAGAAATCTATTGCAAAACTCCACCTTGTTTCAACAGAGGTGAGATCCAGCCCATGCGATAGGGGGAGACGTAGTCACAGCCCCAGGCAGTATGGCCGCTGAGAACATTCAAGTTCAAAAGCCCCACTCGGAATGGACACAGTGATGTTTGTCCATGATCTCAGCCCTAGGGAAGCTGACTTACCAGGATCCTGAGTCCCAGAACTATCTGATCCTAGCTTCTCCTCCTGGAGTTTCCTGCCCACCCCACATGGGACCTGCACCCACCTCTAGCCTCTGCTTGGTGTCGGCGCCCAGCAGGTCACGGACATCTTCATTGTAGATCTCCAGATAGGAAGCCCGCACTAGGAACTTGGTGTTCTCTGCACACTGCAGGAAGCAGATAAAGCTTGACAAAAGGGCCGATGCTAAACTCACCGCTGCCCAGGCCTCTATGGCTGGGGCATTATGGGAAGAAGGGGATGTCAGGGCCACATAGACCCTTACCTCAACCCTGCCCTGTCTGCACTGCTGGTAAACCTTCTTCTCTGGCTCCAGGACCCTCAAGTCTCCAGAGAGCTGTGTTATGGCTCTCTGCCCAATGTGTTACCTACAAACCTCATGGAAAGGGAGGGGGAAGCTACCTCCTTCCTACTCAAGGGAGAAGCCAGGAGTTCCACGTGCTATGTGGACTAAGGCTCCAGCTTTGGACTGATGGACTTTGGGGTCCCAGGTCCCCAGGTGCACTGGCTTTGAGGCCATCACAGTTGGGAGTTGTCCAGTGTCAGGTCCAGGAGAGAAGTATACCAAGGGCTTCACTCAGGGCTTGGTCTTTAGTAATTGCTCAATAACTGGGGGTACCATGACTGTTATAACCACATCTGGTCACCATGTTCAGACTCACTGCAACCACATGAAATGTTAAATGAATTTTAACATTCAAAGACAGCAGGGGAAACCATGGAGCCAGATAGCACGAACAGATACTCTTCTTGGTTCTATGAATTTCACCCATCTTGTTTTTAGAACCCAATGCTGACCCATGCAGAGTTGAGATCAGGGTCTCACTGAAACCCACGGTCCATACCTATGACTCTAGATGCCACGGCGACCATCTGTGACATCAGCTTTATCCCTTTCCATGTGAGGCCCATACCTGAACGCTCTCAAATACGTGCTCGAAGGCTCTGGGAATGATGCCTCTCTGGCAAGGAGGATCTGGCAGTCCCTGCATGGTGAAGGACTTCCCACTGCCTGTCTGGCCATAGGCAAAAATGGTACCATTGTAGCCCTCAGTGACACCCTGTGTGAAAGGAAACCAAAGCACGGTGTTCAGCTGATGGATCCAGCTATGCACCGTGGCGCCCAGCCCACAGACCCTGCCTGGGTCTCCACTAAACAGGGCACCATTCTGCCCTCAAACAACAGTCTGATGGGGTTAAACATTGTGCCAAGGTGGGGGAGGATCTAAGAACCAGTGCTAGGGAGCCAACTTGGTTCAAATCGCACCTCCATGTTATTTTGTTTCTTCGTATACTGCTGGCTGTAGACAGAACCCAGGGTCTTGTATATACCAGGCAAGGGCTTTGCCACTGGATCACACCCTCAACCCGGCTCCATTCTTTACCAGACGCACTTGGACTGGTCTTCGGCATACAGTGTACTGGCTGGATTTGTGTGTCAACTTGACACAAACTGGAGTCACCAGGGGGAAAGGAGCCTTAGTGGAGGACAGCCCTCCATGAGCTCCAGCTGTAAGGCATGGTCTCAATTAGTGACCAATGGGGAGGGTGCAGCCCATTGTTGGTGGAGCCGTCCCTGGGCTGGCGGTCCTGGGTTCTATAAGAAAGTAGGCTGAGCAAGCCAGAAGCAAGCCAGTAAGTAACATCCCTCCGTGGTCTCTGCATCAGCTCCTGCCTCCAGGTTCCTGCCCTGTGTGAGTTCCTGTCCTGACTTCCTCCAATAAGAGTATATAATCTGAGCCGGGCGGTCGTGGCGCACGCCTTTAATCCCAGCACTTGGGAGGCAGAGGCAGGTGGATTTCTGAGTTTGAGGCCAGCCTGGTCTACAGAGTGAGTTCCAGGACAGCCAAGGCTACACAGAGAAACCCTGTCTTGAACCGCCCCCCCCCCCCGCAAAAAAAAAAAAAAAGAGAGAGAGAGAGAGAGAGTATAATCTGGAAGTGTGTGCTGAATAAACCCTTTCTTCCCCAACTTACTTTGTAGTCATGGTGTTTTCGTTGCAACAATAGTAGAGTCTCAGTCTAAGCTGTCATGAAGGGTAAGAACGGAATCATCTTTGCATTAGCCACGGCAAGGGCAGGCATGGACAGGTGCTCACTAATTTCTGCCAGGAACACTGGGGTGGGCAGCCATGCTGCTCCTCACCCAGGCCAGGGAGGTATACACAGGGCATAAGTTCAGTCAACAGTGAAGGGAGGAAGTTGAAGGAAAGAAGGAAGCCGGAAGATGTTCGAGGAAGCAGGCACAGCCTTCTGTAGAAGAGAGGCAAGGTAGTAGTGGACCTGCTGATGAGGGAACCTTCTCAAGAGATAGGAAGAGGAGGCTGTTCCAGACCAAGGGGACACAGGACACAGGAGAGTGGCTGACAGTGGCCAGTGGATCTGGGAGTGGGGTATGGATGAGGAAGCTGAGAAGACAGACAGACAGACAGACAGACCAGGTTCCACTTCAAAGGCCATTCATTCTTCACTCATGAGATTGTTTATTCACCCCTCAGGTGCTGGCTGCCCTTTCTACATCAGGAACCATGTTTGTGTTAAAGAGCAGAAAACAAGGTAGCTCCCATCCCTACCCTTAGAGCTCTCAGGGTTATGGATAGCAGCATTGTGGGATATCAGTCATGACGAATATTGTCGACCTGATGGGATGTAAAGAGTTACCATGGAAACAAGTGAGGGGGTGTTGAGGTTAGGTTAACTGAGGTGGGAAAATCAAGGTTAGGTTAACTGAGGTGGTAAGACCCACCCTAAACATAGGCAGCACCATCCCAAGTGCTGGAGTCCCAGACTGACTAAAGATAAAACGCAGTCTTCATCTCTCTGCTTCCTGACTGGAATGTGACGCACACTCCTGCCGCCATGCCTTCCCCAGTGCGACTGTCCACTTTCAAACTGCGAGCCAGACAAACCCTTTCTTCCTTAAGTTGCTTAAGTCGGTCAGGTGTTTTGTCACACTAAGAGGTGATATGGCACTGTATGCCAGAATACAGGCCCAGAAATCTGTTCCCAGACCCCCAATGCCTATATGATGCCTACATTAAATTTTGCTGGAAAAAGAAATCCCTGTGACCCAAACAGAGCTCACAGCAGGAATCCCTGAGAGCTGGGGACTGATTCTCAAGAAGACTGGGACCCACTCAAAGCTCCCTGGCCCCTTGCAGAGGACAAGCGCTTTCTTTTCTGCCGCGAGAACGGGCAAATCCACTCAATCTAGGGTCCCGCAGCTCCTGGCGGCGGATGGAAGGTGGGGGATAAAGTGGGGACAAGCAACTGCAGAGAGAAGACCCAACCCAGAGCCTGTGCTGGGCTTCTCAAACCCACATGCATCTAAAGCAGGAGTCACGCGACACCTCTGGAGAAGATGAAGTGGCACAAGGAGTCACTGTAGGCCAGGCCCAGGGTAAGGACTCTAGGAACACTCAGGGCCACACAGCAGATGCTCCATTCTCCTGGGTAGCCATGAGCCATACTGGGACGTTGGCACTGGTGCGACTTGGAGGACTGGGCTTATTTTTCACAGGGTTTCGTATGTGCTACACACGTGCTCCACCGCGGAGCTATCTGTCTTACTGAGATGGGTGACTATCTCACGCATCCAGAATGACCTCAACAGCAGGTGTAGTTGAGGATGGCCTTGAACCCTGCTTCTACCTCCCCAAGCTCTGGAATCACAAAGCAAAGGCCTCCCCAAGGGCTTATGAGTCCCGGCGTTGAACTCAGGTCTGTGTGCAGGCTAGGCAAGCCCGGTACCAACAGGGACCACATCTCCACCTCTTTAATCGCTCTGGCTTCAGACTGGCTTCAATTTTTTTTTTTTTCAAGACAGGGTTTCTCTGCATAGCCCTGGCTGTCCTAGAACTACTTCTGTAGACCAGGCTGACCTTGAACTCTGAGATCTGCCTGCCTCTGCCTCCCCAGTGCAGGAACTGAAAGCATGCACCACCACGGCCAGGCTACAGACTTCAAAGTTTTAATATAATTAAAGAATATAAAATACTAATAGCTGTTAGATGTAATATATTAATTATTTTATGAGATACTATAGATACACTGTAGTATAATTAGTTTTAGTTTGTTCCTTTTAGTTCTTAAAAGGTCATCACTGGGGGAGCTAAAATTATGAACGTGGCTCAAGCCTACAATAGAAAACAGATTTATTTCTATTTATTTATGTTGGGAGCCGACTCTTAGCCGAAAGTGGCTATCATCTTTACAGCCATCTCGAGACATATACTCTGACAAGAGACTTGTTTCAACAGCCTGCAATAGCTGAGCGCACTCTGATAAACATCTTGTTACACTGTTTAGTGCCCCCAGCTGCCAGGTGCTCCTGGTATCCATGGCTACAAGGCACGTGATGTAGTGGCTTCAGTTGAGATTGTGCACGAGGGCAAGTCACGTGGTAAAGGGTATAAATACCCAGGATTTCCCTTCTGTAGAGGAGTAGAGGAGTAGAGGAGTCGAGGAGGTAGAGGTAGAAAGTAGGAGGTAGTAAGTAGTAGGAGGTAGTAGGAGGTAGAAAGTAGAGGAAGGAGTGAGAAAGTGAGAGGTGTCAGGAGACTGAAGGAGTGAGAATATAGTAAGAAGAGAAGAGAATAAAGAAGACTTGAAGAGACTAAGAGTCGGCTCCCAACATATTTACATTTAACTTAATTAAAACTTATTATAGGCTGGGGCTGAAGAGATGGCTCAGCAGTTAAGAGCACTGACTGCTCTTCCAGAGGTCCTGAAGTCAATTCCCAGCAACCACATGGTGGCTCACAATCATTTGTAATGGGATCTGACTCCCTTTTCTGGTGTGTCTGAAGACAACTACTGTGTGTATGTTTGTTTGTGTGTGTGTGTGTAATTATTATAGCTGGGTGGTTGTAGTGTACATATCTCAGCACTCAGGAGGCAGAGGCACGTGGATCCCTGAGTTCGAGGCCAGCCTGGTCTACAGAATGAGTTCCAGGATAGCCAGGGCTACACCAAGAAACCTTGCCTTGAAAAACAACAAACTAAAATATTCTAGTCTGAATCTGAAGTGTCCCCCAAATGTCATGCTTTGATTGTTTCCTGGTTGGTGACACTGTTTTGTTGCAGAATCTTCAGGAGCTGAGCTGGCAGGAGGTGGTTAACTAGGGACAGGCCTTCTAAGCTTACAGCCCACTTGCTAGTTCTGGCTCACTTGACTGATCTGCCATGAGGGGGTGGTGAGGGGGATCTGCCATGAGGGGGTGGTGAGGAGGTCCCTGAGGTGCTGCTGCTGCATGCATACCTCATCCTGATGGACTGAGAGCCTTGAAACAATGAGCCACAACAAACCTTCTCCTCCTCACTTCTAGTATTTTAGTCACAGTGACGCAAAAGTAACTAATGCATTCAGTTTCTCAGCAGTACCCGCCTCTTTCCCGTGCAATTGCCACCCGTGTCTAGTGGGTATATAACTGGTCTGTGCAAACACAGAGCATTCCCACTGTTCCAGAATATTCTATTGGATGGCACTGCCCTGGAATAAGTAGAAAACAACTTTAGGTATATTTCTAAGATGAAACAAAGATTTCAAAAAAGTCTGACACAGAAACTGATACCCTGGGGCAGGGGGTAGGGCTGTGTCCCAGGGAGCTCATGTGGATCAGGTCCCCAGTGTCCACTGCTTAGTCAGTGTGTATTGCCATCCCTTCCTATCTTATTGAATTATGAAACTTATTAGTGGGTATTTATGAAATCGACTCTTGATCTCCTTGTCTTCTCTCTGCACGCGCGTGCCTCTGTGTGTGTGTGTGTGTGTGTGTGTGTGTGTGTGTGTATTGAGATCAAACCTAAAGCATCACACAAGCTGGGCAAGGGCTGCTTGTTGTGGTGGGGAGACGGACAAGGCAGGAGGGATGGGAATCAGTCAGGGGTGGGTGTGGAAAAGGAAGCCCAAGGACAGTTGAAAAGCTTAGACAGGGACGAGAGATGAGGGACAGAGCCTGGACATAAGGGACAGAGGAGGAAAGAGAGACGGCAGAACGCGGAATCTGAAGTTCAGGGACAGCACGGGATAGAATCTGAAGGGCAGATCCTGGACGGAAGGCCCAAGCTACCGGCCAGAAAACCCTGGGAAGGGCCAGAGCGAGCAGGCCTGTGAGTTATGCAGCCGTTGGTCTCAATGGTGCATCTGCTCCTGGCTCAGGCAGCCAGAGCTGTGATCTGGACACGCTCTCCAAGCTGTCCTCTCACGTCCTCCTCAGGCCTCAGTCATCTCTCTGACAAGAACAACTCCAGTTCTTCCAGTGAAGACCAAAGGCTACATGCCGTCTCTCCCCTACAGCCTTCCACCTTCCTGCCTGGCCTCCTCCTACTGGGCTCATCTTACACTTACTTCTCTTTGTTCTCCCATCCATCCTTTCCAAGGATTGCTGGCCTCCCCATGCTGCCCTCCCCCACTTGCCACCGATTGCTAACTTAGCATAGCTGAACTCTGACCTTGAGTTTGATGAGGTCATATCTCTTTCCCACACCCTCCAGTACTCAATCTGGAGCTCAGAGTGGAGATGCTAATGTTTCCTTTCACAGAGGGGTTAAAAGATTAATGAATGAACAGGTGTCAAATCTGAGGTCTTGGGAATGTCCAGAGATAGGTCTGTACAGTGGGACTCAGAAGAGGAAGCTGGAATAGAGATCCGAGAGGTCTGTCACTGTGTCCTTAGTGTCTTTCTTCCTCTCTGGGTAGGCCTTGCCTGGACACTGCACAATCCACAAGAAGAGAACTGAGGCCTCACCCTGAGCAAGGCTGGCAGCCCTAGACAGAAGCATGGCTGAGGAGGAACACAAGTTCAATCATCGAGGTGCTATCTCTATATAGAGGGTGACAAGTGTTCTACAGGGTCCCGGGGACAGAGGCAGGACGGAAAGCTCCCGAGAGGCCTCTGAGTGGGTGGAACACTCTGGAGACCAAGAAACAAAAGTGGAACAGGCTGCCTCCAGAGCATGAGCTGCAGCCACTTAAGACATACAAGCAAGGACTGCTCGGTCCTTTATAGATGGAGATTCAAACACCCGATAAGCAAGAGGGACCGAATCAGATGACATCTCTGATCCCTCCTAGCCTAGAAACCCAGGCCAACAGGTGGATAGCCAAGCTAACCTCAGAGCCTGGAGCTATCCCAAGGGGAGTTGTCCCTTGTCTTCTGAGTATTCAGAGGGAACCACTGCTTGTCAAGTGCTGTGTGGTCTACATTATCAGTCAGAAAGCCTTTGGAGTGGGGTCAGAGTTCAGCAAGGCAGAGATGCATGCTTGACCCTAAGTTCTAAGGATGCATCTATTCCTGGCTCAGCACCACAGACTGGAGGCTTTGGAACACATCAACTTTTTTGGTTTTTCGAGACAGGGTTTCTCTGTGTAGCCCGGGCTATGCTGGAACTCACTTTGTAGACCAGGCTGGCCTCGAACTCAGAAATCCGCCTGCCTCTGCCTCCCAAGGGCTGGGATTAAAGGCCTGCGCCACCACCGCCCGGCTACACATCAACTTTCTTAACAGGCAGGACAGGAGGAAGAGCTGAAAGAGCCTGCCAGTCAAAATAGAAAGCATCCATGGTAAGTGTTTTGGGAATGCTAGGTCAAAGAAGCCAAGTGGATTTCTTTGCATCAGGATTTCTCCGAACCTCAGATACAGGATGAGCACCACACTGTTCCTTTTTTAGAAAGACAAGCGTTTCCTCCACTACTCGCAAGAGGAGAATTCCAACAGGAGGATTTTGCTTGTGGGGCTAAAATGGGAGCAAGTGTGAACCACTGCCTGACAGAGGTGAGAAGACTCCTGGGATGCTTGGGAGGGAAGGAGGCTGGCGCTTTCAGGACCCTACAAGTCTGGAATGAGGACAGAGGACCAGGACCCTTGGGGTCTAGAGTCTGTGGTCAAGAGGCTGCAAGAGATGCAGGTCAGGACAAGCAGGGGTGCTGAGTGGTCCTGGGTCTGAAGTTCTGCGGTAAGAGCTACAAAGGATGGGCGTGTGGACCAGCGTGGGTGCTGGGTTCAGCTGGGAAGTGGCCACCACGCTGGAGGCAGGTCCCCCGTGTCTACAGTCAGGACAAGCCTTCAGACTAACCTGCCGCTATCCACCTGTGCCGGAGCCTTCTCGCTTGGCTTTTGGGGTAGGGGCTGGGTTAACCCACCTATCCTGTCTCCACTTTCCGGGAGCCCCGAGTCTGGCCCTGCAGTCTCGGGGCGCCCTCACCTCCACCAGCGGGTAGGCGATCTCGTTGTAGATCTGCTCGGTGAAGTGTTCTATGTAGTAGGCGCCATCGAAAGTGAACTGCTTTGGGGGTTCGTCCGCCGCTCCCGGGTTCTGAATGAAGCATTGGCCGCGCGCGCAGTCCACCGTCACCACCGACTGGCAGCTCAGCTCGCGTTCGCGCTTGTTCATGGGCCGGCAGCGCACGACCACCTTCACTGACTCCGAGGCCATGGCTGCCCGGGGGCGTGGCCCAGTCCAGGGGGTGGAGCCAGAGCCCGCGCGGGGCGGGGCCTGGCAGCGGGGGGCGGGGCCGCAGCAGGGGGCCGAGACTCCCCGCAGGGCGCGCTGGGAGCGGCAGGGGCTCGGCAGACAAGTGTCCGGGCTGGAGCCCGGGCCGCCGCCTCCCGCGCCCGGGCTCGCCCGTCCCTGAGGCCGGGCCCGGGCGGGGAACGGGGGATCTGCGCTGCAGGCGCCGCCGCACGACCCGAGCCCCGGAGCTGGCCGGGTCACGCTCGCGCTCGTGCACGCCGTCTCGGCGTTCGCCGTTGCTGAGCAACGTCCGTGACGTCACAGGACGGAACGGTGAATGCGAGGGAGAGCCCGGGGGCAGGGGATGCACCCGGGCGGTAAGAACTATCCTATCCCATCCTCTGCTCTGTCTCTCAGGCCTCGCAGCTACAGCCCAGTGAGGTTCAGCAACCCGGCAGAGGTGGGCAGGGTAAGACTTGGAGCCCACGTTTAACTCCACTTCCCTCAGGGGTTAGAGACTGAGAGGGTGATTAGGACTTCACTGCCCCCTATCCACAGCCCGAAGAGTCCATATTTTAAAAGACAGGAAAACTGGGCCAGCAAGATGGCTCAGATAGCGAAAGGCTCTTGCTGCCATGCCTGCATAGTCCCGGACTATCCCGGGGACCCAAATGGTGGTTGGACTCTTGCAAGCGAGTCCACACACATAAATAAATATATTTGAAAAAAATAGTCGGGCAGTGGTGGCGCACGCCTTTAATCCCAGCACTTGGGAGGCAGAGGCAGGCGGATTTCTGAGTTTGAGGCCAGCCTGGTCTACAGAGTGAGTTCCAGGACAGCCCAGGCTGTACAGAGAAACCCTGTCTCAAAAAAAAAAAAAAAAAAGAAAGAAAGAAAGAAAGAAAGAAAAGAAAGAAAAGAAAAAAGACAAAAACTTTAGGAGTTAGTCTATCTGTTGGAAAGGCCACACAGCCTAACTTCCTGACCCAGTCTGAGCCACCAACCACTCAATTGCAATGCTCCCATGAGTTCCTAGGCACAGAAACACCATCAGTCATTTGACAGGCTCTGGGAAGACAGCTTCTTGCTGTCTAGTATTGCCGTCTAGTAGGGGAAATTAACATTTCACATATTCACACACACACACACACACACACACCAAAGAATGACTACAAATGAACCATTTCTGTGGATCATTAAAAGGATCTGTCCTTTGTCGGCTGTAGGGAGTCAGGGGACGTATCTTGGATCTGACTGGAGCTGAAGTTAGGTTTAGGAAGACCTGGGCTGTACAATGCACCTGCTGCACTTTGCTGAGACGGCAGGTAAGCTCAAGTTATCAGATCACAGTCTAGATTTTAAAAAATTACATGTGTGTGTTCATTTGTGTGGATTCATAGACCCAGTGTGGCGGTCAGAGGACAGCTTACAGGACATGGCTCTCCTTCCACCATGTGGAACCAAGGGATCAAACTCAGGTCAGCAGGTTTGACAAAATGCACTGAGCCAGCTCACAGGGCCTTCTACCTTTTCCTCAGAAGACCTCTCCATGTTGCCTCACCCCCGCCCCCAGTTCCATCAGACCTTTCTGGGCCCTGGTGGCCAGAACCTCAAGCAGGCTCACCATTCCAAACCAGCTGCGGTATGTTTGACAAACAAAAGCAAAGCAGGAAAACATTGATGAAGACCAGCTACTCAAGAACTTCTGTGGTAGACTGTGAAGAATGTGGTTTATTTGTCTCAAAGTGCACACAAAGAGAGCTGTGGTGGTGCTCTGCACAAAGACAGAGCCATGGTCTGTAAGTAAGACACCATCTGAACACATGGGCCCCAGACTGCGCCATCTGTACCATGCGATCGATAAATGCTTTGGAAGAAATGTCAAAGGGCGTGGGGAAGTCCGTTCTCTTGGATGTGTGGAATATCTCCTGGTACTGTACACACTGGCAATTCACACCACGAACACACCCTCCGGGAGGTGAGCCCTGGCCTCCAGTCTGGGCCAAGTAGTTACCAAGTTTCCTTGGGTGTAACTTTCTGGGGTTGGGCACAGGGTATGCTAATCTCTCTGCTCCTAGGGGAAGGGAGTAGGCATGCAGGTGGACCTGGCGTGGAAGGATCACCACTCACATTCTGTCTAGAGGTGGTGTTGTCTCCTGTAAAAAGAGTTCTGCAGACACCTTTCTCTCCATCCCTCACAAGATACCTCACTTGAAAGAAATGGCAATGTACTGAGCTAAGAGCTTATCCTAATGGGGGTGGGGGAGGATGCTGGAAACACCCGGCCTGGGCTTCCATCTCTCTTCCCGGTTTGTCCCCTCTCTGTTCAAGAGGCTACCTCTTTCCCAAGGGATCCAAACTCCAAAACCTGTGCTTACACTGAAACCTGTGGTGTCCAAGGCACTAAACAAGGACATCCCCTCCCCTCTGCCTACACCTCTGCTTCCAAAGGTAATCTGACTTGCTGTTGTTTATTTTATTTTATTTTATTTATTTTTTGAGGCAAGGTTTTCCAGAGTAGCCCTGGCTGTCCTGTAACTTGCTCTGTAGACCAGGCTGGCCTCCAATTCATAGAGATCTACCTGCTTCTTCTGCCTTCTAAACATTGGGATTAAAGGCGTGCACCACCACCACCTAAGAAGTCTGTTGTTTTGGGTAGATTCATATTTTCTGCGGAGTTGATTTAAGGAACAACTTGAATTTGTCATTCCCTGGCTGAACCACTGTGATCCTCTAGAATGTCCCCCTGGACTGTCCCTTGCTACGGTCACCCCCTCACCATGGGACTTGCACTTATCCTAATTCTCCACTGCAAATAGGGCTGAGGTGACCAGTGCCAACCATGCCCAACCGTCAGCACTGTGTTAAAGGAAACACCAGCATGAGGTGGCTTCCTAAGGCAGCCACCAAACTGACTGTGGTTTGCTCACTGCTAGCCCCACTCAAAGTGTCTCCAGAAAATGAGCTGAAGGTGCAAGTCAGCAACTCCCTAAGCATCTGGTTCCCCATGGGGAGCAGTCTAGGGTTCCCCACCCAGCAGAGGCTTAGCCTCCTCCAGCAAGGGCTGCACCCACCTCCACGAGCCACTGGGAAAGCCTCTGCACAAGGACAATAAGAACCTGGCAATGGTCACTCCCCAAAGTCACCTAGAGTTACCCCCATGGCTCTACCTGCTCATCCTGGTATCACAGCTGGCCCCAGGTCCTGAGAGAGGTCCTGTTATCTCCACCTCCAGCCTCAGGGCTCCTCTCCAATGGCAGTGAAGTGATGGAAGACCACTGAGGGGCAAATTGACCTGTTTGGAGCTGGTGACCAGTGGATGGGGTGCAGGAAGGGCAGAATGACCTCAGCCACCCAAGGGCCCACAGGGGATTGAGAGCTTGCTGTGTCCTAGCCCAGGCCTTGCAGTTCTGCCTCAGACTTGGCATGGCTGAGGGGCCGCAGAGTCCGTGGGAACCTGCCGTCAGGACCACAGTCCTGCTCTTCGTAGGTAGGGTTGAGACGACCCATGCTGAGTGGGCAGAAGAGGCTGCGCTCCATCCCAGCGTGGCTCTCCACCAGGGCCTCCAGGCTGGGGAACTCCGCTGGCAGGTGCTGGGGAGGAAGGAACTTTGGTCCCCTGCCCCACAGTCCATGTGTGTACCAGCACCCCACCCCTACCCTGGTCTCCCATCATGTGCTTGCCATTCGGAAAGTGGGGGGATATATTCAGAAAGGGAGAGTGTGGCATAACTGTGGAGCGTGTCACCACATCCTTGCTCTGCCCAGCCTGGGCAGCTCTGAGGCAGCTCGCTTGTCCAGCTGCTACTTAAAAACCTCCACAGCTCAGTCCTGGAAAACGTTGACTAGGAGCCTGTGTGGATTTGGGTCAGCTCTCCTAGAGAGAACCTTTTAAAGACACCTCTAGAGGGAGCACCTCAGTGGCTGCACACCTCAGCCACTCTCCCTGAACCCTGTGGTCAGCACCCAGCCAGCAAGCACGGAAGTAAAGGTGCTGTGGTGGGCAAGCCTTTACTCTTGGCACTGGAAGGCAGAGGCAGGCGGATTTCTGAGTTTCGGGCCAGTCTGGTCTACAGAGTGAGTTCCAGGACATCCGGGGCTACACAGAGAGAGACACCCAAAGGAAACAGAAACAGAACTTGCAGGGCCAAGTAGACAGAAGTGGATTAGGAGAGGGGCGGGGCCAGGGAGCTCCTAGTGAGGGAACAGGATGAAAGTGAGGTGGGCTTAGGAGATCAAAGACAATTTAAAGGGCAGACTAAGAATTGCCAGAGATGGAGGCAGCGGTGGGGTGGGATGGGGTGGGGCGGGGCTGGAAGGCCCAGAGGATAACCCCACAGTCTCACCTCTAGGCAGTAGCGGCCTAGGTGGTTCCTGAAGACCTGGTGAGGCACCACACCACACTGGGTCCGTACAGACAGGCTCCACTGGCCGCTGGTACCTGGCTCTGGCCACAGCAGGAAGGCTCCGTGCACATCTCTCCGCAGCAAGGCAAGAGCACTGGACCTAGGGGAGGGAGTCTAGACTGTTATCCTGGTCAGGAATGTACTAGCCCCAAGAATTTGGTGTCAGTGGTAGAAGACTGAATATGTGACCTCCGAAGTTCTGAACCAGAGCAGCCATTCAGTGAATGTTAGTTGAAGGAACTCAAGGCCTCTGGGGACATGACTTGCTGATTTCAAGGCTCTGGTCAGGAGAGGTTGGAGGAACCATGGGAAGGCAGGGAGGGACAGGCCACACCCAGAGGGTTTCACTTGTGTCTCCTTAACTGGCTCCTCTCCATAACCCCATTTTACATTCTGGGAAACTGAGGTTCAGGCAGAGGAAGTCATGGCCTGAGATCACCTAACCCCACACTCACCAGTTGAAGTCCATGCACTCTGCCAATGTACCCTGTGTACATGTTGACCAGGAGTCTACCGCACATTTTTATACCCAACCCAAGGGACTGGACTTTGGGCTAGGACAGAACTCCCTTACCTGGAAAGGCCAGCAAAGGCCCAGATGTTCTCTGTCAGGCTTCCCTCATTCTCCACCAGGCACGAGGGGCCACCAGGGCCACGGGGCCATGCCTCCCATGCAGCAGGAACTACGGAGACCATGAAGGTCAGAGGAAGCATGGTGGACCCTCCTAATGGCAGACCCGCCCCTATCCTGTGGTTTGTCCCACCCACCAAACCTCTTCCCCAACCTGACAGTCACACATCTGGTCCCTCAACAGAAACTCTACCCTCCATCCTTAGTGGCCTGCATAAGCCCTGAGGCTTGATGTACCCACACATGCACAGGCAGCCATGGGAGGAGGGTAGGTACGAGGGGGTAAGGCTACAGCCTCAAAAGAACATGCATGAACCCCCAAGCTCTGCCAAGGAGCTGCTGCCTCCTACAACTCACAGGCTTCCCGGGCTGACAGCTGCAGCTGTGTCTCATAGGTGCAGCCTCGGTAGGCCCCAGAGCGGATCACCTTGCTGCGAATGGCCTTCTTCCGCACCAGTGTGGGTGAACAGTAGGGGTTCCCCAGGCGAGTGTGACGGGTGCTCCCACGGCCCTCTGGCTCTGGCAGCTCCTTCTAGGGCACCAAGAGGGGCCCATAGGCAGGCAGATTCAGACCCATCTGTTTGAGGCCAGATGAACCCCACAAGAAGCCCACCCCTGCAGCATAACCCCCAAGCCATTTCCCCCAACCCCTTCCTGGCTGAGGAACTGCATACCCCGTTACTGCCCAGTAGCCCTTCTGCAGGAAGCCGCCGGAAGGAGACCAGGGCATGGACATTCTGAGACAGCTGATCCCGGCTGAAGGGCTCCCGCACTAGGGCAAGGGGTACCCCAGGACTGCAGAGTGGCTTTGGGGACATGTCCCCTACAGGGGCCAGGCAGGGTTCAGGCTGTGCCCTCTCCTCAGGGTGCTGTGAGAGGTAAGCGAGCTGGAAGGAGCGGCAGAGCAGCAGGTACAGGATATGAACCTAGGACAGGAGGGGCAGGCTCAGCGGCAGCAGCCTCCTGGGAAGCGCCTCAGGCTCCGGCTCACTCTCCGAGGCTACAGATGGCCCCTTAACATCGTCCGGTGTCCCCCACAAAGAAACCTCCTAGAAAAACTCCTACTTAGCCCTCAAAATCTCACCACGTGCAGCCTCTGCTACCAGCTTTCTCTGGGCACGTCACTGCTAAGCCACTCTGTGCCAGGCATCTTGCCGGGAGCAGAGAGTACAACCCTGGGCCCAATGCACTCCGACCTAAGACCATCCTCCCAGGGCTCAGGCTGGCAACACTGCCAGCTAAGTGCCTTCGCCCTGGCTGTCGAGCGACATCCCCTCACCTCCCCATGACCCTCAGGGGACTTAAGGAAACGGGGCACTGAAAACTCTCAGCACTTATCTGGGGCCTGAACATGAACCTCCCCCCATGCCCCTCCACCCCTGTCACTCACACAGTCCAGACCCAGCAGATTGGAACCATTGGCTTCAGCCACTTGTCACCCAGGATCCACATCCAGAGGTGAGAGCAAATGCTGGAACTGACTAACCGACTGGCTGCCACCGATCTGTCGTTCACAGTGACCACATCAGCCTTAACCTCAAATATACCTGTCTATGACCATACCCCATCCACTACACAGGGCTACTCAGGGCCACCTAGGGACGGCTCAAAACCTGGATGTGGCCTCTGCTGCTAAAGGACTCAAGTCTCTGTAGTTTGGGACAGCCAAATGCTGGAGTGTGGTTCATGTTACAGGTGGCTGCTGGGCTTTGAAGGTGATGGGAATGAGCCAGGATGAGGGAGGGTGGGTGCACCATAGGTGCTCCCAGTCCCAGGGAATGTCAAGGGTGCTGGTGTGCTTCATACAGTCAGTGTGGTGAGGCATGGATTCACCCCTGCAACCTGAGGATGGTACAGCTCTGGGTCTCCAGTACCTCTCCAGGCTGGCTCCCCACAAAGAGATGGCAGAAGAGCTTGCTGGCTGGGCTGTGCGGGTTCCGGGCAACAAAAGCAAACTGGCAGGTGGCTGGGTACCAGGTGGCATAGAGGATACGCTTCAGAGCATGGGCCATGAGGAGCACCTGTGAGGCATTGTAGTGACAACAAGGCCTCAGACACCTGCGTAGCAGTGGCCCGAGGACCTTAAATGTCTGGCATAGGCCACCCACCTCCTAGAGTGAAGAGATCCTTCTTTCCCCAAGGCCTGCCAAGCCCAACCCTTAGCGCCCATAGCCCTGGGGCTGCTGCAGACACATAGCACTCCAAGTTACGGAACTGAGGGACAGAACAGTGACCCAGTGGTCTCTGACTGGAACCCTACAGAAGCGGTGGCAGCAAGCCCAGAAGTTATATACTTGGTCTCTGGAGCAGGAATGCTGGGACTTCAAATCTTAGCTCTGCAGTTCACTCTCCATGTGATAACAGACTCCTGGGTGTCCCTTGCTGTCACATCAAACTAACAATGCCTCAGGCAGGTGATGGAGAACCCCAGGGTACTGCCATCAGCATTGGGCTTTTACGTAAGAGGCCTGCAGCTGCTGATTGCACAGTGGCAGTCAATGGGCAGCCATGTTGTTTGTGCAGTGGGTAACCAGGGAGGGACGGGCCAGCATGCAAGAGCTAGCTCCCTGCCATCTCTAGCCCCTGGCTGTCCACAGTCACTGGCCAATGTTGGGCTGGGCATTTAGACAATCTAATGGGATGGATGTCCCTGGTATTTAAGACAGGAGGTAGCCTCTAGAGCTGAAAGGGCAGGTAAGCAATTGTTGCCTGAGCTTGTCCTAGGAGGCCATGGGGCAAGCTATAAGCAGACCCCATCTGGTCTTCACTGCCCCCCGCCTACCTCTCCCTCTCCACTGTAGATCTTGAGACCCTGAAGACTGAATTTCAGGATGACAGCCCGACGTCGGGAACAGTCCTGAGGGGAAGACAGTTGGCAGAGGCAGAAGTCACTTCTCAGGCCTGGCCTTATGTGGTCCTGCTCAGTATCCCTCGTCAAGGCTGCTCAGCCAGTTCTGACACCCCTGCACTGGGACAGAGGCCTGGGTGGCACACCCCCATCAGTCAAGCAATGTCCTTTGGGGTATGGATCCCCAGGCATCTAAGGAGAGTCCTGAATCTTAGACCTCACCAGGTCACTTCTCAGAAGACCTTTGGCCCCCACCCTTCCTGGGCAGCATGTGTCCTCAGAGCTCCATCCAAGTTTGATATTCATGGTGCCCACCCTTGGGTTATGCACCCCAAGCCCCTCACCTGCAGGGCCCACAGCTGCTGCTGTACGAGGCACACACTCTCCTGAGTGTCCAAATCATCCACAGGAAAGGAGCCCACGTACTGGTGGTGATGGAGAGAAGCAAGGCAGGAGAGTAAGGCCCCTAACTCCAATGCACACAATATCCTGCCATGAAGACAAGCTGCGTGCAGTGTCCAAGCACTGTCCTTGCAGGCCAGAGGTCTATGCTAATGTTCTCAGCGGGTGGCCCTGGTTGGGTCACATGGGCCTCTCATCTTCCCACCTATACATTCACATACACACACGTCCACTCCAAAGGAGACAGAGTCAGGTCCTTGGGCCCCAGATCCTCCCCAATCCCAGGAAGCAGCCACCCCACAACTACCTTCCAGAACACACAGGACAGGCACTCACCCACCTGGGCAAACTTGGCAATGCACCTGGGCCGGTAAGGTGCAGGCCCACAGTCAGAGGCCCTTCGGGCCCCGGCCCCAGCCCTCTGCATGGTCCCCAGCGTGCCCAGTTTCAAGCTCCACGGCGAAGGCTAGGAAGGGCAGGGGAGAGACTGGTTTTCAGGCAGTTGGCTGAAGGCCCCCTGTCAGGGGCTGGTGTGTTTGTTCAAATTTGCTTGCTCTGGCACTCCTTCATTCATTCAACCAACCAACAAACCCACTGAGTATCTGCTGGGTGCTCATCCATGTCCTGGGCACGTGACAGAGACCAAAGACCATTTCTGCCTGCTTCTGAGCAACAAGCGTTCTTGGGGAGCATGATGGGAAACTCGATAATAAGCCTTAATCAGGTGAGATGGTGGGAAAATAGAGAGGGGCAACAGGAGGGGCTGGGGGCTGCACTGGGAAGAGGTGTGGGGAGGGGTCAGAGTGGGATGGTTCCTGGCATAGGCCACTGAGCTAGAGCTGGGGTCAGAGTGCTGCTCACTGGGCCCTCTGTGGTAGGGAAGCTGGTAGAAATATGGAACCAGCTCTTAGGAAAGAACTGATGTCTGCCTATAGTTGAAGCTTCTCAGGAGGCTGAAGCAGGAGGAACAAAATCATTTGAACTCAGGTGTTCAGGGATAGACTGGACAATACAAGACCCTCAACAGGAGAAAACAAAAGAAGAAGAACAACAAAACAGTGTCTGGGAAGAATCCATTGAAGGGCAGGGGTGACTGCAGCAAGGTACAAAAAGGATGAACTGGGGCCTGAGGTAGCCTGCCTGCCAAAGCAGCAGGCTGCACACTACTCAGGATCAGCCCAAGAATGAGACTTCACCCCGTGAATGGACAGTGGGAGACACAGCAGGCCCTGGGGCAGGAACAGTGCACAGAGGTGGTCCGGAGCTGAACAGTTCACTTTGATGATCTCAGGAACCCGTTTCAAAGGTTGCTGGCTGGCTCATTTGCCCAGCCTAACTCCCTTCCTGAATCCCAAAGCCCTTTGCACAGCATGAAAATCACAATCCACCCCAACGAAGCGCTAATGCTAAGTGGGGTGCAGAGAAGCCGGACAACTGCCCAGGAGATTGACAAACCGCAATCCATCCTGGCCCTGTTGGAGGACAGAAGTCCTATGGGACAGATGCATCAATGGACCAGATACTGCAAGGCAAAGTGGAGGAAAGCCTGTGCTGGGGTCCCTGCAGACTCAGCATCCCTAGGGACACGGTAAGACACCTCCCCTCTCCCCGATTCTCATCAGCCTTCTTGCAATTACTGGCTCAGGTCAGAGAGGCCTGGGCATAAGTTCTGTGTGGCTTTGGGCAGACTGCCCCACCTCACCATGCACTCACTTCCTTTCCTGAAAACTTGAGTAATGTGAGGTGCCTGGCATGATGCCAGCCTGACATGACCCAGGGGATGAGGCCCCCAAATGGCTGGAAGGGAGCTTGGGAAGACAGCAGAGTATAGCCACTTTCAAGACTTCTTGTCCAGGCTACACCAACTGGAAACCCTCAACAACTGTGAACGTCAGGCTGGGAAGGAAGCTGGCCTGGGGTTTCTGACTCCGCAGGAGAGAGCAGGGGTTTGTAGTGTGGCCTATAAGTGCCACAGCGGCAGGAGAGCTTGGAAAAGGAGGAGCTTGGGAGCCTTAGAATTGATGTTCTTAGAATCCAAGAAGGGCCCTCCACCTCAAGTGGCCAGTGACCTTCAAGCCCAGGCTTCAGCCAGGGAGAGTGGGAAACAAAGGCTGTAGCCCCGCCCCTGCCCCAGAGCCCACCCAGACCTCCCTCAAGGCTGCTGCCGACTTGTGCTCTGCCAACCTTCCTTTCTAACCCTGTTCTCTTTACAGTCCGCCTGTCTTTTACACACATCTGATGTTTACATAAAGCAGACCACACTCCTGCCACGTGCTGCCTGCCCCTTCCCAGCAGGGGCACAGGACTCCCAGGGAGGCAGTGGAGTGCTTCTTCACTTACTAATCACCAATTCAGGCAGAAGAAGGAAGCAGAGACCACCAGACACACGGCTGGCAATGAGACCCGCAAGGAAGGGACACGGGTGGAGGGTGGAGGGTGGGGGGTGGGAGTGGAACACGGTGAGAAGAAAAACAGTCACAAAAGAGACAAACAGAGCTGACAAGAGCCCTTCACACCCTCTCTGAGCCACAAGGCCTGGCAAGTAGGGGGGTGGGGGTGGGGAATAGCCAAGGGTCAGCAAACTCACACACACAGACACCAGCTTACCTGGTCCCCTGTGGGGTGGGGGTATAGAAGAGGAGGGAGGATGGACAGGATCCTTCCAGCACCTGGCCCTTCCCCAGGCTCCTCATACTTAGCCTCCTCAGAAACAGGAACGTTGTCCCTCTCCTACCCCCCCTTCCAGTCTGATCCTGCCTTAGATCAAGGAGAACACCAGGGTTCACTGAAACCCTGAAAACGACCGCACACCCAACTCATCTCTTTGAACCAAATAAAAGTTTCCCACAGGGGTCTATCTGCCGGGCCAGGACGGTCCTACAGAGGCTTCTATTTTCCAGGGTTGGGGGGTGGAGTCTCTCCTTAGGAGCAGGGGGCTGGCTAGGTTGACTCTATACTTCACGTCCAATCACATCTGTGCACCACAAAGTTTAACTACCTATCCACTCAGGGTACTGGGAGACTACCCAGCCTGCAGACCCCAGATGCCTGACCAAAGACACACACTACTGGAGGGGGAGCTGGCAAATCCAGGACTCTCTGCCTAGGCAAGGCAGTATCCTTCTGCTTACAGTCTATGGGGCCCCCCAAGCAGGCATCCTTTCTTGATACACACTTTGTCTCTATCTGTGCAGGACTAGGTGCCGCAGAAGCAGCCAGTAGTAACCCCTCAGCTGCAACAACTCAGGCGCCGGAGATGGAACTGTTTAGAAGGGGAGGACTCCTTCTCCCAGCCCAGCACACCTCTGACACCACCCCCACAGGCCCTGGACCCGCGCAGCTAGGGACGGGACTGGGCTTCAGCAGGTTTGGCTGGTGTGACCTTGGCCTGCCAGCTTCCAGTTCTTCAGTTGTGAAGGGGACCGCGAAGGCAGCCACCTCCTGGGGCTGTTCATCAGCTTCTGCTCCTCTCAAAATCTATCTGGACGTGCGGAGCACACAGGCTGGATAGGGAAGACGCGGAAAGGATCGCAAGCGGAGGTGCGGAGCGCGTGCGAGCGCTGACAGCGACCTCGCAAGCGTCACCATCCCCACGCAGCGCTAGGTTCTCGGGGGGCTCAGGTGCCCCGGCGACAGGAAGGGAGGGATGGTGACGAGGACTGAGGTGAAGGCAACTGCCGGCGGAGGGAAGTGGGGGTGCGGCTCGCTCTGGGCGACCCTCTCGGCTCCGGCCCAGCCCCCGGAGGGTCCCCAGGCGCACTCACCGCCGCTGCCGCGCCTCCTGGTGGTCTCACAGCTCGGATCCCCGCAGCCTCTGCTCCTACCCAGCGCCTGGCCCGTCCCACCCCCGCCCCCGCCCCCGCCCCCGCCCCGGCCCCCGCCGCGCGCCCCCCACGTGGCCCTGGGGACCCGACCCTTGGGCATCACCTGGCGGCGGCGCCGGTCTCACCAGCCAATCGGAGCCGCTCCGCTCTGCCGTGCCGCCCAATCAAAGGCTGCGGAGGGGTCCTGGCTCCGCCCACGCCGCGACCCCGGCTGGCTCCTCCCTGTCGCGCTTCCTCCACGAAGCTGTCCGGACTCGCTGAGATCAGGGCCACGGCGCTCGTCTGCTCCTCGGGGCAGACCTGGCTACTCATCTAGGTCTGCACGGTCGCCCAATGACCACGCAGCTCCACCCCTTCACATGCAAATTGCAGAGGACTTGGTGGCACCTTTACCGGGTGGAGATTGATTGGGCTGCTTAGCTGGGGTCCAGCATAGAGTGGTGACTCTGTCCTTCGGGCCTCACGGAAATCCACTTAGATGGGGAAATGGTGAGTGAATTTAGCCAGCGTGTGCAGAGCTGAGAGGGCGGGCCCTTCTGATCTCATTAGGTGAGGAGCGCAGTAGGTGGCCCAAATAAATCGCAAATCTGAGCCAGGCAAGTGTATTAAACCCGAAATCTGCAGAGAGAACGCATCAGAAACTGCCCGTACGGCACATCACAGAAATCCAGGACTCAAGGGCTCAGGCCCCAGGGAGGGACACCCAGACAGATGACAGAGCGGTCGAGAAGGTGAACTTGAATCTGCAGCCTCAGGGGAGTTCCTAGGGGCAGGTCTGTACAGTTCTGGGCATCCCTTGTCTCTGCATAGCTCTTAGCACCTTCCAGAGGCAACAATGAGGTGTGATTGTTGCCCACGACTGGGCACTTCTCTCTCCCAAGTGGGACTTGGATAAACACTTTAATCGTGTTACTCCTCCAGGGCCTCTCCCATTGCCACCCCTGACTCAGTCATGTGAGGGGCTGGAAGGGACACAGGGACACAGGGCTTGGCCCAGCACTGACCTGGTAAGTGAAGGCTCAGTAAATACCGATGATGATATTTGAATTTCTTTTTTGTCTGTGACCTTTGCCACCTCCCCTATGGGAAATGCTAAGGGGCCTCCCTAACAGTCTCCAGGCCTCGACCATGAAGGAGAAATGGGGCAAACTCATTTTACCAAACAGGCAACTCTGGATACATAAAAACATAAGGCCTTCCTCCTAACTCTCAAAAAGAACTATTCCTTTTTTTCTTTCGTTTGATTTATTTTTATCTGTATGCGTGTCTTGCCTGCTTTTATATCTGTGTACCACGTGTATGCCTGGTACCACTGCAAGCCACAAGAAGGAGTCAGATCCTCTGAAACTGGAGTTACAGTTATGAGCTGACATACAGGTGCTAGGGATGGAACCCAGTTCCTCTGGAAGGGCAACCAGTGCTCTTAACCAGTAGAGACATTTCTCTACCCAGACTGATGAGTGTTTTATCTGCATGTGTGTATGTACGTCGCAGGCATGCCCGGGTTGCTCAGAGAACAGAAGGTGCAGGACACACCTCTGGAACTAGAATTACAGATGGCTGTGAGCTATCACACAGGTACTAAGAACACAACCCGGGTCCTCTACATGAGCAACAAAGGCTCTTAGTGGCTGAGCCATCTCTCCAACCTCCAAAATGAATATGACTTTTATTTTTAAAGGAAAGGAAAAAATGGCTGTCACGCATGTCAGTGGTAGAACATTTCTCAGGCATGCACAAGGTCAAGTTCAATCCCTACCACAGATAAAATAAAAACCAGGCAAGGTGGTTCAGTGGGTTAAGGTACCTGCTGTCAAGCCTGATGACCTGAGATCAGTCCTTAGGACCCACCCTGTGGAAGACAAACGGCTCCTCTAAGATGTCCCCTGCCTTTCAAATGCTCACAGCCTTATGGGTGCACATACAATAATAACCAAAATGTAATAATAATAAAACACCTTACAGGTTGGACAGAGTCTCAATGGCTTAAAGGTTCCAAGTTCAATTCCTACACCCAGCTCTCATGGTGGTGGTTCACAATGTAATTCCCATTCTAGGGGGCTCTGACGCTGTTTTCTGGCTGCCTTGAGTGCCAGGCACACATGTGGTAGACAAACACACAAAGACAAAACACCCATACACATAAAATTCAAACTAACAAAACACTACACGCTCCAAAGTTTGCATCGAAGGTGAGAAACTTTGGAGGTGGCAGCCATCTCTGGGCAAGCTGACCTAGTCCCACTAAAAACTGTAGCATGAAGCAGTTGTCACCATCTCAGCTGCTACATGTCTAAACCTACGTTCCAAACGGAGCTACCAGGAGCAGCACTTCCACTGACTATGTGACTCACCTGTGCAGGAAGCCTGGAGTTACCCATATTAAGCACAGAGACGGATGACATAAAGTCAGGCTGGGGCGGGCTGGGGTGGGAGTCACGATTGCCAAATGCATCCGTCTTCACCTTGCAAGTCATGGTTACTTCCTGTGAGTCAGCGGCAATCACTAAGCCACACAGGTGGGAGCTTGCTATCACAATCTCCTCCTTTCATCCAAAATCCCCGAATCTGGCTCTGCGCTTGGCAGCTGATGAATGTGTAGGAGGAAGTGCACATCAGCAGGAAGCTGTTCGCCAGCTGGCTCAGGGCTGTGTGATGCATCTCCTGCGTGCCAAATACCTCGGAAAGGCAGTGCCCCAAGAGAGATGCCGTGTGTCCAACCAGGCCACATGCTTTCCCAGCAGAAAGGAAGAGGTCTGAAAAGAGGGGGGTTTCTTCCCAGAAACTTAGCAGCTGGGGATGCATTTCCTACAGGAAGACTGTGTAGTACCCAACCCACTCTGTAACAGATACATTGAAAAACAGAAGCCACTAAGACAACGGTTTTGTTTTGTAGTTTGCACAC